AAGGGTAAACCTTATAAATTAACCTTAAAATAAAAATAAAAATAAAATTAATAAAAACCCATCCTAACTGCTTAAAACCTATTTTGAAATGCTAATACTTAGAAAAATGTGTAATAACAATAGAAAATGAACGAAAACCAAAGAAATACCAGGTGCAGCAATAAATTTAAAATGATCGTTAAAGACTGTTATAAAATAAAAGAATCATTACTGACTGTTACAACGGTTTCCAACAGTCAAAATTTCCCATAGAATGTAATAGAAACTAATTGAATCGTTAATTAACCGATTAATTTTAAATGTATGGCTATGAAACTTAGAATTGGATAGATTACCCCAACATATGCAACACCGTTTGCTGCCCTCCGAATTTTTATCCCCCCATCTGCTAGATCGACCCAAAAAATAAATAAAATAAATGTTTTCTAACTCTCCTCTAATTAATTAATAAATGCAAGTGACTATCTAATTGACCACAATGACTTGCTGCACCTGATGATATAACCCACTATCCTCAAAGGCCTAACACAATATTTATGATGAATGAACATTGAGATAAATACAGAATTTTAAAATTTATAAGGAGTAAAAATAGAAAATTCTGTCAATTAGAGACATTTAAGACAAACTATTTACAAGAAGAAAATTTCTCATTTTCTTCTATCAAATGTCCAAAAGTCCAATGTAAAACTATTGGGACAAACTAAGGTTCCTTACTGATCTTTGTACTAGAATAAAGTTTAGACAAGGCCAAAAATATCTATTTATTAATATTAAGATGATATTTGGCTTTTAAGGTAACATATACAAAGCTGGTCTACAATATCTATCACTTGAGATGAGATTATAAAACTTTTATTTTAAGTATTTACTTTTTAACAAGAAAAATTAAAAATAGTAATAAAATAAAATTTAAAAAATATTGAAAGTTTCAATTATATATTTATTTTTATTCTTTTTAATATTTCAGTTTTAATAACCACAGATGTGGTTAGAAAGAGGTACAGTTGACTCCCCTATAACACAGTAGATATGTTCCAGTTTTTATGAATCCATTTTCTACGAGTCCAGCCAATCACAGCCCGGCATGTATGCAGTTTACGGACTACAGCTGTTTGAAAGATTTCTTCCATAAAATTAATCGATTCTAGACTAATACAACTCAACATTTCCAAAATATGTATAATTTTTTGAGAATAATCCATATAAACTATGCTATAAACAAAAAATTGTAGGATTACTTACTGAGTGTGCACCGTTTGACTACGCCATTGCTTAATTTAATTAAGCTTGTTTTCACCGTGGAGCTTGTCATCGAATGGCGCTCGCGTGCTTACTGATAAATTATTTTTTTGCAAAAAATTTGCTGAACTTTGGAAACATCATTAATATAAATATAATTTTTATGGACGTTAAATAATAAATGGTTTTTAGTAGGTCCGCTGCTCGTTTAAACTCAACAGTTTGTGCAATATCCGCTATTGGTCTAGATTCGACCAATCCTGTCGTGACATGAGTCGGCAATGACGTTTTACTGAATTATAGGAGTTTTTTTAGCATGTTTGTACGAATACTGTTGCAATTTTTTCGCTGTGATATAGGAATCCGAACTATAGGAACCCCATGTTATAGGGGGGTCGACTGTACTGGGGTAACTGAAACTCTATTTTTCAGTAAATATTTATACTTTAGGAATTTTCAGATAACGTCATTTATGTTTTGAAAAAAATGAACTCAGATTTATCGTATCTCGGAATTCCATAATATTTGAAACTTGAATTTAGGTGCATTAGCAGTCCATAGTTTGAAACAAAAAAAAATCAGTAATTTTACCAAATTAGTAACAACTAATGATTGAGAATCTTAGTGATGTACTGAGGGAGGGTTATTTCCACCAAATTGCAAAATCTCTGCAGGCAAAGCCATGGGTAACAGCTAGTAGTATTATATAAAGCATCTTTAAATATTATTCAGTTAGTGCAAAACAATTGTGGTTTTCAACATCAACTTTAGCAGGTTATTATAACATTAATTTAAATGTTATAATAACCTGCTTGAATTATCAAAACATGGTAAATATTCACTTTAATACATTATTTTTATTTCAATCACTTTTAGAAATTCAAATTAATTACTGATAACCAATGTATTATTTAATAACAATTATTGAATTATAAAAAGAGAATATGTAGTTTAAGTTTCATTAATTAATATGTATTTCAAAATAGTATATCTCAGCTTAAAATAAGGTTTATTAATAAGAACCTTAAGGTTTGAAATAAGAACTATTAGAAGCTACACAATTTTTCCAACTAGTAACAAGTTTATTTATTCCAGTAACAGAATTCAGAAGTCCTGGAACAAATAAATTCTTTAAAGGCATTTGGGGCTGTTGCTTAATTGTTGAAAACCTTCTTTTGCAAGAAGTTGTCAAGGTGCTTGAAAAAGTGATAATCAGTTGGAGAGGTCTGGTGAATAAGCGGGTGAGGTAGAGTGTCACAGCTCAGTTTATTCAATTTCTATAGAATCATTTGTGAGACATGGTCAAGCATTGTCATGGAGAAGAACTGGTTCTTTTTGATAGACCAATGTTGGATGTAAACATTTCAGTTTTTGGTACATGATGTTGATTTCTTGACAATACTTTTTTGCTATGATAGTTTCACCAGGATTCAAGAAGTTGTAGTGGATAATTCCACTTACCAACCATCAAACAGTGATCATAACCTTCTTTTAGTGCAACTTTGGTTTGGGTAAGTATTTTGGTGATTCATCTCAGTCCAGCCACTCTGCAGAACACCATCGACTGTCACACAGAAACATTTCTTGTCATGTCACAATGCAATCAAGAACCAGGTCTTTTTTTACATAAAAGAAGCATAGAGCAGATTTCCTAATGGAAATTTTTTGATATTCATTCAACTCATATGGCACCCAATTGTTAAGTTTTTTTATTTTCCTATTTGGTACAAATGTTGAACTACTATTGAATGGTTAACATTTAGTTCTGCAACCTCTCCAGCTATTTTGGGGTTCTGCTTCAATAAAGGCCCTCAATTGGTTGCCATAATTTGCAGAAGGACATCCACAACCTTCTTCATCTTCAAGACTCTTGTCTGTTACAAAATTTTTTATACCAATGCTGAGCTGTACATTCATTGATTGTCCTCTGGCCAAATGCTTGGTTGATATTGCATGCAGTCTTTATACTGCTTTACGTCCCATTTTGAACTCATAAAATAAAATTGTTCAAATTTGTGTTTTTTCCATTTTTTAATTTGATAGTGTAAAGTATATAAGAATAAACATAAAAACAAAGCCATTAGAATAAATCAATAGTAGGTGCTTTATGCTTTAAAATGGTATATTACATTAATATAATTAAATAAAATTTTAACCCAAAATAGGCCTCAAAATTAAAAATAATGAGAACCACAATTATTTTGCACCAACCTAATAAGATTCTTTGAAACTTCCCATTTTATTGATATTAGTATCAAAAGTTGTAAACACTTATTAAATTAAAACTTGTCTAATTAAATAAAACAGTAAAATTCTTGCTTGCCACATTTACTTAGAAAGTTTCATCTTTAAAAAATGCTAAGTATTCATTAACTAATTTTAGCTATCATAAAAATACACATATTTAGTATGAAAATCCAAACAAATTAGGCAGATGACAGTATATTAATGTATCAGCCTACATCCACCAAGTAAATAATATACAGAAATGAAATTGACTGGTATAAACTTTGATGTTACTTTGTATCTTCAAGGTCACTAAGCAGACATATTGTTAAATCATTTCAGCTACATTTAATCTAAGAGATTTGATAGTTTGAATAAAGAATGAATATTTTATTTATTCAAACTGTTTACAGATAAGGGAATAAGCTACAAGAAAGTGCTACATCCATTCAGCAGAACAAATAAAATATTGTTTTCTTTTAGACAATGAATCAAAATAAAATTTATTATACAGGATGGTTATATTTGATTCTGATGAAACCGTGTTGTAGTTTACTTTGCTTTTTTACAGACACACTACGGTGACATTATTCAATACTTGGCAATTATTCACCAACTGAATAAAGTGGTGAATAATCTGCCAAGTGTTGAATAATGTCACCGGAGTGTGTCTGTAAAAAAGAAAGGATGGTTATAATTAAACAGGAGGTATTTAGAGAACTCTTTGTAAAAAGAATTAATGAGTCCAATATAACCAAATTTGGGGTGCATAATTTCCTGACCATGAGATATCAATTTGCAAATAAAAAATTTAGTACTAATTTTTCTGCAATTTTCATATTAGGTAGATTGTCAAAGAAAACCAGGCAATTAAAAAAGTTGAGACACAAAGTGCAATAATTTTAAAACATAAACAACAACTTTACCAGAAAACTGGTACTGTACATGTAGAATAGAGAATCACACCTAAATGCAAAATTTCCAGCAAAGAAATGCTTAACTTCAATGTTTGAATGTTTTCTGCCACTATTTTATCAGCCCTCATTGAAGTTAAGCATTTCTTTGCTGGAAATTTTGCATTTAGGTGTGATTCTCTACTCTGCAATAATTTTATTTCAATTTAGTGTGGCAATTACAGATTCTGTGATATATAACTCTCTGCAGGTTACAATGTCACATTTGATAATTTTACACGTCAATATACTTATAAAATGTACTGTACATACTGGATAACTAAATATTATAAAAAAATATGTATTTATTTTTCTACTAAAATATGTATTTATTTCAAATCTCATTTCATATTTACGTTCTGTGTTAGTGTTCTATTTTAAGTTAAGTTAACTGAAGAAGATCAGTTAAAACAATCAAAAACATTTTTTATTTAGTAAATTTTATTTGCTGGATTGTTAAAGGTGTGTTTTTTATAATATTTATTATATTTATTTTATTATATTATTTCTATTTTAACAATTTAATTTTTTAATACAAAAGTTAAGAGAGAAAGGAAATTGAAAGAAATAGATACATACTTCAACTGCAGTATCATGATGCAAATTATATCTTTCTCTATCATCATTTACAGAAATATCAAAAGTTTCTACTTGTATGCCATCAGACGTATCCTAAAATAATAATTTTTTCACAAGAGAAATTAAAATACTAAATTTTACATAAAGATTTTAAAATGATTAATTGCAAAAAAAAAAAAAAAAAATTTAAATTNACTGATGATTCTCCAATTATGCAGGTTGAATCTCCATCTAAACCATTGAAATCATCCATAGCTTGCTGTAAATTATTCTGTCAATTTTTTGCCTTCATGTACCTTCAAAATCTCAAAGATACTGCATGCCTTAGCTTGAATTATTAAAAGGCTTATCGGCATATTTTGCATCCAAACTTGACAAAAAATCCACAGTCATACCATTAAATAGAAAAAGCCAAATTTTCTCACAGTAATTTCACTAAGCTTTATCTTCTATGAATATGTTTTAAAAGTAAATAAACAAATAAATTTATGTTACTCCAAGCATACACTTTATTGAGACAAAGTGCATGCTAAGGCCAACTGAGAAGATTTAGTAAGGTAGATTTAAGGTAGCGATTGAGTACAGCCAATTAACTCCCAAACTTAAGAGGAATAAAATGTAAATATATAAAAGTAATCAAAAAAATTAAATGCTGGATTATTTTGGGCTATATTTTTGCAAACTATTTATTATACTAACAAAGTAGTTTGGTCTAAAGATAAATGGTTAGGTTACAACCTTGAGTAACTTTAATAATTTCATTCATTTTTGAATTAAATTTAATAATAGATAATGCACCCTTTAAAATTATTTTTTTAACAATGATAATCCATTAGTTATGTACATTTTAAATATAAAATTACAGNAGTTTCGTCACAGTTAAAGACTTGCTGGGCATGTATGTTTCGGCTTCTATGATCTCTGTGAATGTTTTGACAAAATCTTTGGTTGCCTTGACATCTGAACTGGCCGCCTCACCATGCCTAACAACAGAATAAATGTCAGTCCTTTCTTTAAAATTTTTGAACCAGCCCAGCTGACTTTGAACTCCTCTTCTGCTAAAGAACTACCCTCTTGTTGTATCAAATCTCAGTACATCGTTTGTGATTTTTTGTAGATGATAGCCTTGGTCAAAGTGTCTCCAGCAAGCTGCTTCCCCATTATCCACAGAAACAGAAGATCTTCCATTTTCTTATGGACTGAAGTGAATAGCTTCAATATTATTGTTACTCCCTTGGCTGCTGTTATACCCATTATGGAGGCTTTCTGTTTCAATTTTGTGCATATCGTCAATGTAAAATGCTCATACTGTCTCACCAAATCCATTACTCATATGCCTTCCTTATGTTTTTTTATAATTTCCTGCTTTACCTCAAGTGAAATCATATCTTTTGGCATTTCACCACTGCTTTTTATATTTACTTTCTTCAAATCCATAGTATCACTAAAGGAATTTTGCAAAATAACGGCAAAAAAAATACGACACAACACAACACCAACAGAGATCCTTCCAGAGCGAGGTGAACATGTATGCTAGAAGTGGAAATACTCTCAAAGTTTTGTGCTTGTTGCGCCAACTAGCAGATACTTAACTGAACTCACTCATACCACAAGGCAAAAAATTGGCCGAACTCCAGCTTGTATCTCAAAAAATTTGTATATTGGTGCTCATATCTCAAGGCATTACTGAACTTCACCAAACAGATCTAATGTGCATATACAAACATTATCTAATTCTCATTGATGTTGTTAGATGTCGGAGCAGTAGGTAATGTCATTCTTAATTATTAACCCTTGAATATGGCACTAATAATATAGTAATTCACAATACTAATAAAACAATGGCACGTTTAGAACGTATTACGGGCCCCGGGCAAGTACCTTGTCTGCCTTGTGCCAAATTAGACCCTGGTAATTACTACTTATTTGTATTACAAGTGTTTTGATTATGTGATGCATGATATCTTTGAAACTTAATATGAAGTATTGTAATATTTGATCTTTCATATTGTGAAAACCTAAAGGCCCTGGGTCTAATTTAATAATTTTTATTAATAATGTTAAAATATTGTCNCAAAGTTGAAGGGACTTAAAAACTGGCACTTTATATTAACGTGATTTGTATCAATCAAACTTGACAAAAAATCCACAGTCATACCATTAAATAGAAAAAGCCAAATTTTCTCACAGTAATTTCACTAAGCTTTATCTTCTATGAATATGTTTTAAAAGTAAATAAACAAATAAATTTATGTTACTCCAAGCATACACTTTATTGAGACAAAGTGCATGCTAAGGCCAACTGAGAAGATTTAGTAAGGTAGATTTAAGGTAGCGATTGAGTACAGCCAATTAACTCCCAAACTTAAGAGGAATAAAATGTAAATATATAAAAGTAATCAAAAAAATTAAATGCTGGATTATTTTGGGCTATATTTTTGCAAACTATTTATTATACTAACAAAGTAGTTTGGTCTAAAGATAAATGGTTAGGTTACAACCTTGAGTAACTTTAATAATTTCATTCATTTTTGAATTAAATTTAATAATAGATAATGCACCCTTTAAAATTATTTTTTTAACAATGATAATCCATTAGTTATGTACATTTTAAATATAAAATTACAGTCCATACATATTTTTGTGAATTCTCTGTTTTTTGTATATTTCCAGGGATTAAATATTTTTCTTATTTCTGGTACCAAATGTAAAAAGGGAGATTTTCTCTACTGATAACACAGTATTAAATTTAGAATTCAGAAGTTGGCTACCTGACCAATTACATCAGCAAATCAGTAGCATTTCCATTTCCAATATTATATTTTTAACATCTCTTTTGCTTTGCATTTCCAGTTTTGATTTTGGTTTTTATTCTGATCTTCATTAACAGCCAGTTTTGATTTTCAATCATATGTGGTCAGCATGTAGTGTTAACTTTTGTGTGTATTTAATATTTATGATAATCTACAATTTATCAATCTAAGTTCATTGAAGAAATTGATAGCTTAAATCAACTGACAATGTAAATAGAAATAAAATTTTACTTATTACAATATAATATAGCCAAACCTCAGTTTTCAAACATAATTTGTTCTTCTATGCATTTGTAGCTAGAACTATTTTAAGATGATCAATACAAAACCTTCCTCACTTATTTCTAGCTGTTTATACACGAGTACGAACGTTTTCGGCCTTCTTAATAGGCTTTCTTCAGGTACACTGTGGTCTGTTAGAGTGTCGGTTGGTAGAAGTTTAAATAGTGTCAATGCTTACATAGGTATCGTCTTACTAGTGATGTCATCGTTGATGATAGGTATAGACGATACCGAGGGCAAAAAATTCTTTCTTTTGGTAAAAACGGGAGGTGTGCAGATAGTTCATGATGGGATGATCGCTAAAGTTGGGGAATAAAATTTTATTTTATTCCCCAACTTTAAATTGACACCGATTAAACTTCTACATTGACACTGTTTAAACTTCTCATACATTGACACTGTTTAAACTTCTACCAACTAACGCTCTAACAGACCACAGTGTACCTGAAGAAGGCCTATTAATTAAGAAGGCCGAAAACGTTTTTACTCGTGTATAAATGGCTAGAAATAAGTGAGGAAGGTTTTGTATTGATCACCAATAATTTGTTCCTAAAAGTTGTTTGAAAACTGATTTGTTCTAAACCTAAAACAAATTTTCCCATAAGAAAGAATATAAAATGAATTAATCAGTTCCCAACCCCCAAACAAAGCCTCTTTTTACCTTTTTAGCTGTGCTTCATGCATAGAAATGCCTACAAATGCAATGTGATATTATATATAATATAATATAATATTATATTAATAAATTTTTGTTATTTAATTTAACTTAAGCATATGTAAACATGAATTGTTGGAAGCCATTTATATTACATAAATGTCAATTAATGTGGTTTTTATTAATTAATTTGATTTAAATTCAACTGTGTCATACACTAAAAAACAGAAGTTGCATCTTTTCTGCATGTGCATTGAAATATAAATTAAATAGCAACATCATTGATGATTCATGTTGTGACATCTAATGACACAAGGCAATCTCACTATCACTAACTTCTGAATCAGTAGTCCTGTCATTGATTGGTGTGGCAGTTCATTTTCTTTAATGTAGGAAGTATAGGGAGTTGACCATCTGTGTCTCTCTAAGCTGTGAACAAGCTCTTGCCAAGTAACTTGCTCAGCAACCAAGTTATTGTATGGCAACTAGTACAATTATGAGTTTGAAATTCTGTTTGTGAACTGAATTGTTTGAAAAGTGCATTGTTTAAAACTGAGATTTGACTTATAAAAAAATAATAACTAAGGAATAAGAGAAAAAATCAATCATTATCTAGCAAAGGTTCAAGAACCTGGTTTGAGGTTATGTGCATATTGAAGTTGGTTAGAGATTAATTCCAAAAAAGACCACTCCTTTTAAATAGAAAATTCCAGGAAATAATCTTAAAAGAAAAACCACCACATCATCCTTCAATACATCAAATTTGACAACCAATAGAAAAAACACCATCTTTTGGCATTACATACTTTAATCAATATATAATATAAAGGTAAGAGTACAATGTGTGTGCTGCTAAAACTCAAAAATGAGTCCTGGTATGATCAAGGGAGTTATATGGTGTGGTAGCCCTCTATCCCCCATCCATGAAGAAGGTTCCCGTTTTTACCTGAAAGGCATGCTGTTGAAGATATAAGGGCTGGAAGTTTCACCCTCTAGAAATTTCTAGAACAGTCCAGAACATTCGAGAGCATTCCACAACATTCCAGAATGTTCTGGGATGTTCTGCAACGTTCGGGAACATCCCAGATCATTGTGGAATATTCCAGAACACTCTTGAATGTTGTGGAATGTTCTCAAACATTGTGGACCATTCAAAGCCTTTTTTTTATGGGTGGGACTACCCATTGGTGGGAGTATATAAAGAAAGATCCGTCGTGGGTTCGAACATCAGTTTCTTATCAGTGATGAAGGGAAGAACTGAAAAAGAAGTGAAAATTCCATTATTAGAAACGTTTAGAATGTTCGAAATTTTTGACAAACACTTCCAGTTATCCGAAATTCAA